TCAGACGGCATGGATGGGCAGCTATACTGATCTTGGTCTGCACTGGTCGCCTGGGTAGATTTAGTTGTTGCCAGTAAACTAATGGTTAATGCTAAATTAAGACTTCCAAAAGAACAGATGTGTATTTGGTAGTGTGAAAATAGGTGAAAAGCAGTGGGCAGCCAAAGATACAAATCTATTTTGTTTTTGAAATTTGCTGCTTCACTTAGATTTTTTTATGTGATTGTATATTTTTTCGAAATTTGTGTACCATTTGATGCAGGTCTGAGTGCAAAAGTTCAGTTAATATTTGCTCTCTCTGTTTTCCCATTATGATAACTTTTATTGTGAAAAATGTTGCAAGAATAAGAAGCTTTAAAATTTTTAGCTTTCAGACTGAAATGGGATTAAGGATTGCTCAAAAAAGTCAATTTTCAATTCAATTATATTTTGTTTGTTATTTTTTTGCATATTAATTTGTTTTGTTTTTAAGTGCTCGCAGTTGATTGTAAGAATTGTTTTTATGTTTGAAGATTTTGAACCTCTCAGTCTTAGGTTCTGAGCTCTCTTAAGACAAAGAAATAAATAATTACTTGAAAAAAACTATTATGATATAAATCAAGGAGGGTCATGTATAATTTTACTATCCGACATTTGTAATATAATCTGTAACATAAATTGGCATTTGACTGTAACAGTTATAGTTGATTTTATTACTACCCCCCTCCCCCCCCCCCCCCCTCCACCTCCTACAGAAACAATTTTAGTACAACCAAATTAATAAGAACTCTGATTATAAGTTTTAACAGTAAAATCAAACAAACTGATGAAGAAAATCTCTCGGTAGTAATGGTTACATAGTTTTATAGTTTTTCTATGAAGAAGCTGATAATTGTGGAGATGTGGGGATACAATTATCAGCCTTATATTGTCAGTATCAAATTTATATTGATTCATGTTGCCATAATGTAACAAACTGAGAATATCTGGTGCTACAAATTTCCCTATATTGCAGGCATGGTCTATGTAAGGATACATGGCTTAATGATTAACTATTGTCTGAAGCAATTTGTCCATCAACTTTTATTTATTATAAAGATATTTACTCTCTAATCTACTGCAGGCATAAAACTATCAAATATTGAACATATATCATTGCAAAAATATTAAATGGTGACCACCTATTTTCAAAAATATTAAACACTGACCATATATTTGCAAAAAAGTTTAGAGCTCAATACATAATTGCTAAAATACTGACAAAAAATTTGCTAAAATATTCAACACTGAACACATAATTTCTGAAATATTCAACTCAGAGCACATAGTTGTTAAAATAAAATTAACACTGACCACAATGTTTGCTACAATATTCAACACTGACCACATGCTTCTTACAATATTCAACACTGACCACATGCTTCTTACAATATTCAACACTGATCACAATGCTCCTTACAGTATTCAACACTTACCACATGTTTGCTACAATATTCAACACTGACCACATGCTTCTTACAATATTCAACACTGACCACATGTTTCTTACAATATTCAACACTGACCACATGCTTCTTACAATATTCAACACTGACCACATGTTTGCTACTGTGAATATTTAACACTGACCATATGTTTGCTTAAATATTCAACAGTCACCTTATATTTGCTACAATATTCAACACATGATTGAAAAAATATTCAACAATGACCACATACAATCACGTACTTGCTAAAATATTCAACATTGAACTTATAATCGAAAATTATTGAATACTGATGAACACATATTTTCAAAAATATTCAACACTTAACACAAAGTTGTAAAAGCATTCAATACTGAACACCATTTTGCAAAACTATTCAAAATTGATAGCACGACATAATACATGTAATTATTTAATTTTACCCATGAAATATGGTGCTATATCAGTCAAATATATTTCATATTTTTAAAAAATAAATATGAAATATAAATATGAAAGTGGGCGGAGTCAAAACTCATATTTATTTTAAGGGACTTCTTTCGCCGTTTTGTTTGAAAAATCTGATGAATACAAAACAACTTTTTCTTGAATATTGTTTTGAAAACTATATAGCATGATAGAAAATGGTCTAACTAAGAAAATTAATCCGAACACCAATATGTTTAATTCAGTAATTAACGCTGTACAGACGTTTAAAGAGTTGTTTACATGACGTCACAATGTAGCGCCAAACAGCGCGTGCTTACGCATAAATTACTGCGCGCTGTACAATTGCAGTTGGTAGCAAGCAAGGGGATTCGTTACCATTTTCTTTGATAATGAAATCAAATAAAAAGGTTATTTTTACGTTTTTCGTGAAATATGGTATATATTTTCACTCAACATGATAAAATGCCACATATTTTCACTCGCCGTACCGGCTCGTGAAAATATGTGGCATTTTCTCATGTTTCGTGAAAATATATTCCATATTTCACGCAAACGAAAAAATATCCTCTTAATACTTGCTTGCAAAATGCTCACCCTCAGTTCACGTACTAATCAATACTTTCCAATGATCATATTTCGCATAACCAACCCTGACCTGTGTTTTCAAAGCAACATGCAAAATATTCTCACTTGACCCATTTATGGGCCTTTCAAAATCACAGACATGAACCCCAAATATGAATGAAATAAATGGTTTTATTAATTAAAAGCCTGAATACCTGAAGAGAATACTGTGATGGGATGGCCACTATGTATGCACATATGTCTGTCATTTTATACCCTTGTCCAGTCAAATCACATATAAAGGATATAAGCCATGGCTTATGTAACTTGGTAAGGTCATAACAGTAGGTCAAAAGTCAAGGTCACACTGACACTTTTTGTAAAATCTCAACTCCATGAGATGTATCACACTTAAGTTTGTTCAACTTAGTATGGTCATTCCCTATAGGCAGAAGATAGCCCCTTTAAACTTTGAGGTCATATAAAGGTGAAAGGTCAAGGACACAGTGAAACATAATGTTTAAACTTTGTCTAGTCAATAAAAAAAGTAAAAAAAAACACTTAGGTTTGTTTAACTTGGTTAAAGCCCTGTAGATGACCTCTACTGATTTAAGGTTGTCATTTTAAGGTCACAATTACATTTGATGTGAAATCATTGTCTATATCAAATACAAGTTTTCTGTCATATGTTTGTGAAACAAACTTAAAGCTTTTATTATTATATATACATGTATATATTACCTTTATAAATTTAAAACTTGACCTTTATCAAATAATGCATTAGTTTGTAAATATTATGGCAACCAAATAGAACAGACTAATGAAGTGTCCTACCATATGTACAGTCATTTCTAATTTTGTACTTGCATATTATATAAGCCATGACTGAAGTATTTTTACCATATTAAATTGATTTTACTTAGGATCACTGACAAAATACTCCTAGATCACTCCTTAAATTGCCGTTTTATAAAAAAATATTCATCCCTCAAAACTTTCAGGATATTCAACCCTGATGGTAAAACAAGATCGTGATATAGTGATTATAACTACATGTATATTTTTCATTTGACTCGCATTTTTACAGAATTTTGTTTTTTCCGTACAACATGTAATTTACCACCTATACTTTGGTCCAATTACAGCATAGCATGTGCGTGCGTATAAAACAACGTATTGATTCTTTCAAAACATGCTCTCTGTAAATCTATACAGACTTGAGCCATCTCTGCTGTATCAAAACTGCATCTTGACGTAAACAAATTTATGATGCTGTATTTAAACTTCTTCATGTGCAGTGTGCATGCCCTTATCTCAAATTAATTTGATTTATAAGAATTATTTTACGTAACTAAATGTTGATCTAGAGATACACATGAATAATATGGAATGTTCTTGAAATATTTTTTGATGCATTCAACAAAAGTTCTTTATGTAGATTATGATAAAAGTGCATTTTTATATGTGTGGCTTTAGATTTAAAAAGTATAACATACTGTAAAATTGCTATTAAACGCCCCTTCCCTAATGAAAGACACCTTTGAAACGGGCTATAACTAACTGAACAATTTAATCCATATAGTCTGGAGTACCTTCCCAAGCTTCTTCTACTTTCTATAGTAAATGAAGGCAGGGAACTAGACTAGACTGTGCATTTAATGATAATTAAAACAAGCAATAAAGACATTTATATTATTTATGTAGTTGAGATATAAATGGATAAAGAATAACATTTTTGCCATTTAATTTTGTTTATTCATTGATCACAAGTTTAACTGTGTTTTTACCTCCTACCAAAGAGTCGAATTTTCAGTGTCTTTAAATTACGCTATGTTCTGTTTAGTGAAATGCAACTTACGTAAATTTACGTTTTGCGTAAGTTCAAATTTACGTAAAACGATACGCAAAACTTACGTAATGTTAGTGAAACGCTCGCCAGGTTACTTTGTCTACCTCTAATTACTCAAAGTAAAACTTCCTAATTTCAAGATGTCTGCGCCAATGTACATTCTGAATGCTTTTGACTTCTAGGTGAAGTTATATATCATCATGTTTCAACAAACATAATCCTTTATTCTCATGAGATAAAGAACCTGGAGTTGAGCTTTTACATTTTCTAAAATTTTCACTTTCACTAAACCTCGATATGAATTTTTAAACCCATGTGTATCATTCTGATTAAATCTGTATGTACAAGTAGTGATGTATGTTTCACCCTCTGCTCCTCTTCCTGTAGTACTTTTGCAAATATTTGTTATTTTGTTTTCAGCTTGTTTTTGAGAAAAACAACTTACATTTACTTACAGTCATAACTATAGACATAAGATACTTCAATGTTACCTCCAAAGTTACTTCCCTTTTATAATACTTAACCATTTGCAGTTTAAAAATAACTGTAAATTCAATGAATTGTTCTTTTATCAAATAAGCTTGCAAAAGTTAATGTAGCTTTTGTGATATTCCTAAATACTGATCACATGAATTGATATTTCTTAATTTGAGATATCTTATGTTTATATATATTTTTCCTTCTATCTTCAGATGTCTGGTCAAAAATACACTCGTACAAATTTTGAGGAGGATGAGGTGTCAGGAGCCGGAACCCCACCACCAGGAGAATTCAACACATCTGTTGTGTATAAAAGAGGTGGTGGTTTAAAGTAAGTTTTTATTAAGACTGTAATGCTGTGAAATGGTCTTGTCTTTTTTTTGAGACTCCATTTTTAGCTTGACTTTTTCAACACTTTTTGGTTTTTAAACATATTTATTTAAGCTCAATTGTGAAACAAGTTCTTGCAGTTTATTATATTATATTAATCACTTTTGAGTCCGCTTCCTACCAACCTGCAGTACTGCATGGTGTCATATGAAGAAACATGGTCGTGACCAGATTAGGGCTCGAACCCATTATCCACGGGTCGAGAGACAGACACCTTAAACACTAGGCCACAGCTCCCCTTCAACACTCGTGACAACACAGACATGTTGAATAATTTAAGTATGGCTTGATCTATGACATGACCTTGATGCTAAAGGTCACATAGGAATTTGAATAATTTTTGTACAAGAAAATGATGTTTTCTAGGAATATTCTTTACCACTATATTCTTCCTTTGTGTTTTTCCTTTAGAATTAATAACGTTAAGCATGGTCCCTGCTTAGCAGTGGCTCTTGTCTATTGTAATTCATGTAGTATTGAATTTATTGACATTCTGTTATTTAAAACAGATAGAATTGAATTGTTTGTTAAAAAGTCCGCTATACAACATAATAGTAACACAAGCTGTATAAAGAGCTGACTTGTAAAGTAAATGTTTGATCTGCCCTATTATGTATGTTTAAATTATTTTGACTCTTCTGAGCAGGTATCGCTTATGTAAATATTTAAGAATTGATGGGTGTTGTCATCTGTCTATTTTCTATATTACAGAAGCCACCACCTCATTTATTTAAGTAAAAATCAGATAAAAGAAGTGGCGGTTACTGTATATCATAGAAAAGGAGTGGCGACTAACTGCGATATATTTTTCACAAAATATGTTGGATTTTAACAAAATATGTGCAGAATTTGTATTCATAAGTCGGATATCTGATTATTTATGGTTGTGTTTTATTAGTAACCGTTTGCCGGGACTGGCGAGTGATTATAGGTCAGTGACCTAATATTGCCTGATTATTGAAGGCCAAACACTTTCATTTTGGTACAATTTGGTTTGATTACTTTAAATATTACACCAAATGTTATACAGTGATATAAAACTTGACACAATGTTAGATTACAGCCGAGAAGATGAATGCCCTGGTAATATAGAGATGTCTTATTAGGCAGATGAAATACACTCGGGGGACATCTTAGGGGAGATTTTCCTGATGACAAATCATATCCTGGCTAATAGTGTTATTTACTAGAGAAATGAGGTTAATTCAGTGTCTTTTATATGACAAATAAGCATTGTTTGTGTGTGAACTTTTCAACTAGCAGAGATATTGAATCAAAGATTTGGTTTCTGAGAAAAAAACAACACAACAACAATGTTTTAAATTTTCAGTTAATAAAAGGTTTTAGTGAACATAAATCTTGTGATACATACAGAAGATTTTTTGTTGAGATTTTCTTTTAACTAGTGATGTTCCGATTGTCGCAAGTCGCCGATAATCAGTTACTAATATGAAAAGCGACAATAATCGATTCACAAAAAATTGTTCCGCGACGTCGTCAAAAATGTTTAAAGTATCAAAGGGAATTAATTCTGACGGTAATTTTCTTTTAGGAACACCTCGCCGATCGCAAAAAATCATCTCAGAGACAATTTGGATTTGAACAGGATCAATAAGTGATGTAAACAATAGTAATATAATGTGATGTAAATGTTATTATTTGACATCCATTTCAAAATAAATCTATTTCGTAAAATTATGACTATATAAAGTTAAAACTGTGTTGAAAAGTGCTAAATGAAGTTCATGTTACTGAATATAATAAAGTGCATCGGGAAGAAATGTTACTTCCCTATTTCTTTTTAACGCGACTTTATTCGAAAAGTTATCGATTATGTCCCATCCGACTGAACCGATGATCGATTGGGACAAATTCCATCCGATTTCCATCACTACTTTTAACCCTGACTTTATGCTGAATTTGTATAAAAGATTGCATGATCCTGCTCTTGAATTTGTGGTCTTACTTTTGAATTTGAAATTGTCTTATGTAAGTGCAAGTGATGACAACATTTTACAATCAATTTTTATAAATAACAGACTAATTTTATTACCTTGTTTTCTTGTTTCTTGTTGAAATGGAGGTTGTAGGTCAAGACTGAACATTGTATACTAATTATTTCCTTGTCCTTTTATTACAGGGGTCGAAGGTCATGGCTGGAGGTGATATTACTTGGAACTTTAGGAGTTGCTTCTGTTACAATAATAGTTCTAGCTGCTCTTCTTGTGTCCAGGGACAAACAGATTGGTCGATTAAGTCTTCAAAAAGCCAGTGTCAAGACAGATAATAAACCTGTAGTCATAGCAACAACAAGGAAACCAGAGGTCAAACCAAAACGTATGTTAAAATTTTGTAGAATTGGGTCAGTAATGTTGAAACAAGAATTCATATCAAATTTCATTTCAAAAATTGCATATTATGAAGAGTATGTCACAGCAAAACAAATTAGTAACAATAAATTATTATAATAAACAGTTCAGCTTATTAAACAAAATAGATTGTTGAAAATATTAATAAGTTTGTAATTTTGTAGAAAAAACATCAAGAATGTTGTAGTTGCAGTGTCTGCAGTGGTTATTATAGCTTCCTATAATTTTTGCAGGCTTAAAAATCCTCTAACATGACAAAATTATTCTAAAAATAGATATTCGAAAGCTGTAGAAAGAACGCGAGAGCCGCCTTGGGTTTTCATGATTTTAAATAACCAACATTAGCCAATTTGAAAAAAGATTTTTTAGGGTTCATAATCTTTAATGTTCCTTTTACATGTCCTTGTTCTTTATTTACAGCTCTATGTTTGACACCAACATGTATCACGGTTGCAAGTATGTTGATAAATTCTATGGACACTAGTGTTGACCCATGCTCAGACTTTTACTCGTACGCATGTGGTGGTTGGATTGACAAGCATGTGATACCCTCGGGCCACGCGCGCTGGAGCACATTTGGTGAGCTGTGGAAATCAAATCAAGAGGTCATGAAAAGGGTCATAGGTGAGAAATTTAAGCAACATATTTGTTGGCAATAAAAATTGTGAGATATACATTTATCAATAGTTACCGCCGAAAACCAATATCTGTGAACAACATTTGAGAAAAAAGGTAGGTATGTTGTATAAGATATATATTTTCGATTGCAGAAGTGAAAAAAATAAAGCACAAATACATATGACCTGATTTTCAAAGTTTTATTTAAAAGATTGTCGTTGATTTCAGATGGAATATTTGGAGATTGAACTCATAATGCCTCGCATGTAGTCAGGGTCTGTTCTAATGATAAAATAATTGCTTTACATTATTATTTATTAACCCTAACAATTCTAAATATCATAAATGGCCTTGTCCATTTATCAAATTGGACAAAACCATTAATTCTTTTAAGGGAAAATTTGAAAAAATATTTACTGATTGAATAGCAAATAGTGCAGACCATTGATCAGATGGCACAGATATGCTGGCTGATCTTGGTCAGTGCTGGTTGCATCATGGTAGACAGTGGCGTAGCTACTATTAAGCCATGTAGGCCCAGGAGGCCCAGGCCTACAAGTTGGTCAAGAAATTGACATTTTCAAAAGTCCCAAAAATACAATAAAAACAGGCGTGGGTGGAATTGGTAGTGTGTTCAAGCCGTATGGTCGAATTATAAGTGTCTTTTATGCTGATGCACGATTTACTGTCCTCAATAAAGTTGGCATCTAATCAAATTCATAGTTTAAAATTATTGTTTTGATAATTTTCCTTGAAAATCCTTTAGAACGCCAATTTGCTCTTTTTAATATGAACTTGTTTTTTGGCTTCTGGGGGCTTAGTCCCCCAAACCCCCTTTTATGGGCCTACAAGTTGAAAAAAGCTGGCTACTCCCCTGGTAGATTCAGTTGTCACCAGTAGGTGGATTAAATACAGATACCATATAGTAATAGCCAACAGGTTCTTTAAATTCTGCCAATTCTGTCTAAATGTTGTGAGGAAATGAAGAAAGTATTATTAAGGTTGTTGTTGATGTTGACTTCAAACAAAATATTGAAAGCTCTGTTACAATTTTGATGTACTGCGTACTTCTTACATAGAAGCTTTTATTTTGATTCTAGTGAATAAAGAAGCCTAGCAGGTGTATACAAGAAACCTTTCATGTGCTGGTAGACACTTAAATTGATTCAATTACTTTACAACTTTCATGTAAGAGAAAAAGATTTAAGACTGCATGTATGAAATGGGAGTGAATTTTTGTGACCTAGATAAGACAATTTAAACACAATTATAGAGAGTTAATGCACCTTTCTTCATGCATCAGCACCCCCTCCGTGGTCAAGGGGTTAGAGTTGATGACTTCTAATCCAGTTACCTCTCTGGCGTTGGTTCGATCCCCGGAAGATGCTTTGGTAGTTTACCGCGGAGGAAGGTAGTCTAGTACTGGTGTAACTCTCCAGGAACGATAATTATGGAAACTACCCGCCTATATGACTGAAATACTGTTGGGAAAAGGGGTAAAATCAAACAAACACACATCATCTGCAGAAGTACAAGGATACATGGATACATTTAAATTCCAAGCACCCAGGGCCAGTGAATTAATAATTGTGAGGGCTTCTGCAAGTGTTAATGAACGAAAAAAGTGTGTTACGTCACCTTGGTGCAGTAACAGGTTAACTCCTTATATAATTTAATAGGAGGTCACCCATTACTGCACTAAGATGATAATTATAAGTGCTATTTTGTATTGAAGAATTTTGTATTTTGGTGTCTGTTTCTTGTATATAGAAATCATTTTGTCATGCTTTCCACCTGCTAGTGCGATGTCACTCCATAGTCATGTTTTGATAATGATATCACTGAGCTATTTTTACATTGTTTCATTACAAAAAAAACATTCAACAACTGCACATGCTCATTTTTGTACGTTAAGGCATTTCTTTTGCTTTAATGTATACTGGCATGGGCAGTTTTTATGCAAGAATTTGCTTAAGTGTTGAAATGAAAGAGTAATAGTTTTATAAAAAATTAATGGGGTTTGTATTTAACCCTTACCAAGTTGAATATCTTAAATGAACTTGTCCATCTTTCAATCTGTACAATACCATGATTGTATGATATTTAGGGAAATTTTTAAAAAGTATACTGACTGAAAAGGGAAAAAGTGCAGGCTTGTCGGTTGATATAGAGTTATGGTAATTTATCAGCATTTGATTCATTACTTTGTTTTGATCACTTTTGTTACATATCAAAGTATAATGAATATTAATAGATTTGCATAAGTCTTAAGAAAAACAAATGTACACAAGTTTGATTAAATATGCACTTAATAATCATGGTCATGTTTTGAGTGCATCTTATATGAGCGCAAGAGTAGTGTGATGTAATAGAATTTAGGAAGTCTTACTGCAATGCTTTCCCGCCAAAAAATTTCCAACATCGGCCAATGTCGTAATAAATCGGTCTTTTCCGGAACATTATTTTTCACAATTTTCGGTATTCAATAAATCTTAACCATTTATAACCTGAATTTAGTACATATCGATAAGGAATGAGTGATTGTAAATAATGTAATACCCAAGATTTTGGTAAAAAATAATTTCCGGAAATAACCGATTTGCTACGATATTGGCCGATGTTAGAATTTTTTGGCGGGAAAGCATTACAGTATGACTACCTTAAATAAATCTTATTCTGATGATTTCAGAGAGACCAATAAATTCCACTCAGAGTGACGCAGAAATAAAAGCCAAGCTCTATTACCAATCATGTATGGATGAAAACAAAACAATAAGTGCGTTGGGTAGTAAACCTTTGGAAAATCTTGTGCGATTATTTGGAGGATGGGCAATATCTAATAGAACAGGAGTTTGGGACAAAACAAAATGGACGTTACAGAAAGCTTTGGAAAAGATGAAAGTGTTTGGTGTATTTTTCTCGTACTACATCGGAGAAGATGATAAAAATTCTACATATAATATCATACAGGTAGGGTTACAAGTTCAACGCTTCAACATATTTTAAAGTTAGTGTCAGTAATGACTTATATCTGCCCAAATAGCTTAATATGGAGAGCATCAGATCGGTTATTCAGGAAATGGCTGGTTCAATCCTTGAACGAGGTGAAATTTGATCTCAGATATAGAGTGTAATGGTCATTTGTCTCTCACTGCACGGCTGATTCAGAAATCATATAGTATAAGTAGTCAGTCTGTGACTTGCAGAGAAATGTATTTTCGGGTTCCTTGGTTAAAGGGTGCGGTAATTTGAAAAAATGAAAAAGAATAAATACACTCATTCCTAACACACTGCTAAATGTTATTTTGTGCTGTCTAGATTCCTTCCATATTTTCATTTTGAAGGAAATGTAAGTTTATAAGCTATAATTGAAATGATAATAATTTTACAGAATATTTAACCCTTAACCTGCTAGTATATTATTTCTATTATGAATCTGTCCAGTCTGTTCAAAATTTAAGGGATTTCAATATCAAAATACAAAAATTGAGCTGCCAATAAAATAGAGCCCAGTCACAATGCACAGATGTGCAGGCTGGTCCAGCTCTATACTGGTGGCAAAGGCTGATCACTTGGTTTTAGCAAACTAAGGGCTTAAAAAAAGAAAACCTTGTTTTTTATAATCTTTCTGAGGTGAGTCCTAAACTAGCAGTCATGTGTATGACAAGTCAATTTGACTAATTCAAAGTGTGTTTTTTTAGCTCACCTGTCACAACGTGACAGGGTGAGCTTTTGTGATCGCTTTTCGTCCGGCGTCCGTCCGTCCGTAAACTTTTACTTTAAATGACATCTCCTCATAAACCACTTGGCCAATTTCATCCAAACTTCACAGGAATGTTCCTTTGGTGGTCACCTTTAAAAATTGTTCAAAGAATTAAATTCCATGCAGAACTCTGGTTGCCATGGCAACCTAAAGAAAAAACTTTAAATAATTATCTTCTTATAAAAAACCCAAAGAGCTAGAGCTTAGATATTTGGCATGAAACATCTTCTAATGAGTGTCTACCAAGTTTGTTCAAATAAAAGCCCTGGGGTCAAAATTGGCCCCGCCCCAGGGGGTCATTGATTTTCCCTATATGTATATAGTAAAAACTTAGAAAATCTTCTTTAAAAGAACTCAAAGAGCTAGAGCTAAGATATTTAGCATGAAACATGTTCTATTGGGTGTCTATCAAGTTTGTTCAAATAAAAGCCCTGGGGTCAAAATTGGCCCTGCCCCAGGGGGTCATTGATTTTCCCCTATATGCATATAGTAAACTTAAAAAAAATTCTTTTAAAAAACCCAAAGAGCTAGAGCTAAGATATTTAGCATGAAACATGTTCTAATGGGTGTCTACCAAGTTTGTTCAAATAAAAGCCCTAGGGTCAAAATTGGCCCCGCCCCAGGGGGTCATTGATTTTCCCTATATGCATATAGTAAAAACTTAAAAAATCTTCTTTTTAAGAACTCAAAGAGCTAGAGCTAAGATATTTAGCATGAAACATGTTCTAATGGGTGTCTACCAAGTTTGTTCAAATAAAAGCCCTGGGGTCCAAATTGGCCCCGCCCCAGGGGGTCATTGATTTTCCCTATATGCATATAGTAAAAACTTAAAAATTCTTATGTTAAAGAACCCAAAGAGCTAGAGCTAAGATTTTTAGCATGAAACATCTTCTAATGAGTTTCTTCCAAGTTTGTTCAAATAAAAGCCCTAGGGTCAAAATTGGCCCCGCCCCAGGGGGTCATTGATTTTCACTATATGCATATAGTAAAAACTTAAAAAATCTTCTTTTTAAGAACTCAAAGAGCTAGAGCTAAGATATTTAGCATGAAACATGTTCTAATGGGTGTCTACCAAGTTTGTTCAAATAAAAGCCCTGGGGTCCAAATTGGCCCCGCCCTAGGGGGTCATTGATTTTCCTTATATGTGTATAGCAAAAACTTAAAATATCTTCTTTGAAAAAACCCAAATAGCTAGAGTTTAGATATTAAGCATGAAATATCTTCTAGCAAGTGTCTACAAAGTTTGTTCAAATTAAAGCCCTGGGGTCAAAACTGGCCCCGCCCCTGGGTGTCATTGTTTTTAAACTATATGTGTAAAGTAAACTTAAAAAATCTTCTTTTAAAAAATCCAATGAGCTAGAGCTTAGATGTTTATTCTTCTTATGGGTGTCTACCAAGTTTGTTCAAATAAAAGCCCTTGGGTTAAAATTTGCCCTGTTTTGGGGGGGAGGGGGAATAACTATTTTTCATTATATGTGTGTAGTTAAAACTTAACATTATGAAACATCTTCTAATGGGTGTCTTCCAAGTTTGTTAAAATAAAAGCCCTGGGGTTTAAACTGGCCCCACTCCAGGGGGCCTATATACAGGTGAGCGACCTCAGGTCCATCATGGCCCTCTTGTTATGCATTGAGTTTGGCTTGATAGGTATTTGAACAGCAGCAGCCAGCAGGTTTTAAAAATAAATACCATACAATTTTAACATCTTAACATTAACCTATGTATATAATGTATGTCATATTAAACGTTTACTTGTATAATTTCAGGTGGATCAAGGGGGTTTAGGCTGTATGTGATATTAACTGTATACTTGTATAATTTCAGGTGGATCAAGGGGGTTTAGGCTGTATGTGATATTAAACCTATTGTTGTATAATTTCAGGTGGATCAAGGGGGTTTAGGCTTGCCAGAGAGAGACTATTATCTAAATAAATCAGTCTCCGAGGACAAAGTAAGTAACATACAGACACATATTGTCACAGATTAAGACAAATTCTATGGCTTCTGAAAATGTTAACTTAGGTCACCTGGGAAATATTATTGGATGATGTTGGTTATCTTTGTTTGTTTAAATATATTTACTATGGAATGAACTTCATTTTTTTTGTCTCACTCAAAATCTGCTCTTTAGTTTATAATTCTCTGCAGAAAAGTGACAAAATATTTATAAATATTTTTTTTACAGAATTTTCAAATAACAGAATTCTTAAATGTAAGAAAATGTTAAGGTCAATAATTTGATCATCAAATAAACATAAATAAATCGTCTCCTTAGTACAGTAATGGTTAAAGAGTTATTATCAACATTGTAGTAATTAATGCTTAAACGGAAATAAATGACTTTTTATATGCAAACATGGTTACAGTTTATATGGAAGTATTTTAAATGATAATTATTTTTTGGGGAAAAAAATACAGATGAATCCCCTTTAACTTCTTATGTAATTTAATAGGAGCTACCCATTTACTGCATTAAGGTATTTTAATTATAATTAAATATTTTTGATATTGTATTATCCTTTCATTTTAGGACTGACTGTTCAAGTTGTCCAAATTGATAACACAAATTTCAGGGGTTTAACCTTTGGCCTATGATAATTCAACCTCAGAATGATATCAGTTAAGAAAATGTTAATTTGTCCTGAGAACATAAAAGGTTGTGGGCAGATGTTAAAGAAAATACAAAATTTTTGTGATATTCTATGTGAATATTTTCATCTATTTAGAGCAGTTTTACCCATTAAACAGGAGTGGTGTATTTTCCATCTGTAGTTAAAGATTGCTTGTTTACCTCAACAAATAAAGCATAAAACAAAATTTTTTTAATATTAAAGACAAAAAAAAATTGAAAAAAATGTCAACTAGTAATTATGCCAGAGATAATCAGTAAGATCTGATAATTACCAACAAAAGGTCATTGAATATTCAAATGTCAGGTCAATATTGCCAAGCAAAGATTTCTTGTTTACTTCAACAAATAAAGCATAACAAAATTGAAGACAAAAACAATGTCAACTAGAGAAAAATAGAGTAATTATGTCAGAGATAATCAGTATGTAATGTGGATACACTTTTCTTAATATCATGAAAATATTTTTGTTCTTCAAAACAGACATTTTTTTTCACCCACTCATTTTCCCTTTTAGGAAGAGCTTACCTTATAGCCGATTGTATCAAATTGGAGATAAAAATTTATACCTTACCCTGGTTAAGGTTCTTTTCTCAGATTTAGCTTGACTATTAAAAAAAATAGGAAGAGCTGTTGTACTCACTTGGCCGTCTGTGTTGGCATAACTTTGGTAAAATTTTTGTATTCAAGTATGAGATAAGGGTTTTTTTTTTTTTCATTTTAGCCTATTTTTAGACTATTTAAAGAATAGTTCTCACCCAGGTATCAGTGTCAGCATCATACTTTGGTTCAGTTTTTGCATGCTATTTGGTAATTCTTCAAAACTTAACTTAAAGGGAGACACAGGCAAAAATTTTCATTTCTTCGTTTTTGAATTTTTCATTCATTATTCTGTAAATGTCCTCAAAATGAATACACTAGGCAGTCACAGGATCAAAACTTTTCTCCTTATATAGAATAAAATGATGGCTAAGTTCCTAACTTGACCCATGTGGGTCAGGTTAGAGCGTTAAGATTTCACAATAGTTGTCACAGTGGACTCTTGAAATGTTCAAGAACATGTCAAATGAATGACTTAGACTTGTTTCAATCGTACATTATCCATAATATCTGTTATTTTTGAAACTTCCAGGGTTTGTTCAAGTCACATGACTTGTTTTAAAACTACTCAGTGATTCTGTTGGCGTCTAAATTTCTTTCAAAATATATACATATATTTACTCTTCAAACCCAAATATATGGAATTTATACATAAATTCATGCTAGGACTTTAAAAAAGTAATTTTAGCGTGATTTGAGTACATAAGATCATTTTAATATTTTTGTCATTAATATGACTGAGTTTCCATTAAAGGGAATGGGTTGAAACATTACACGCTTATTTCAGAGCATAATAGGAGGTCACTGTTTAAGGGTTATAACTTCAACATGAAATTTTACAAAATTATAGCCGTTTTGTATCCAGGCTCTTGTTTAATATTGAGCACTGAGAATTGTTGAGCACCAATCCTCCTGACAGCTCTTGTTACCATTAAAATTTTTTCAACAGTTAGTGTTTCTTATCATTTGTTGAGCAGAAGATCTACCCTTGCATTTTATTTTTTTAACAGAATTTTACCAGATAAGTAAAATACTTTAAATAATCGCCTCTCTTTTTATGTGACAGGTTATATTGTAAGCTGTAAAGCATCAGAATAAATTGTCACAATCTAAAATCAAGCGCGCTTTTACAGACTAAAAGTGGTTAAAACATTCTAATAAATGCGAGATCATGCTAAACCTGATGTAATATGTTATGTTTCCTATTTGTGATCGTGACATTACGTTCATCTCCCTCGGGAGAATAATTCTTTCCTGGTGACAGAATTAGCCAGAGTACTAGGAAGTTTATTAAGAGTGCTTGTATAAATGAGCCGCGTCACGACAAAACCAACATAATGGGTTTGCGACCAGCATGGATCCAGACCAGCCTGCGCATCCGCGCAGTCTGATCAGGATCCATGCTGTTCGCTCTCAGTTTCTCTACTTGTAATAGGGTTTGTAAGCGAACAGCATGGATCCTGACCAGACTGCGCTGATGTGCAGGCTGGTCTGGATCCATGCTGGTCGCAAACCCATTATGTTGGTTTTGTCATGACACGGCTCAAATGAGTGTGTTTCCTCTTACATCTTATCTATCAAAACTCTTTAAAAAAATTAGATTAGACTGGAGTAGACTTTCACAGATGTAGGTATATTTCTTAACTTCCAAACTAAAGTGATGGGTGAATTGTTGTGACAGATAGAATAATGGCACAGACAGTGTAATTATTGCTGTTTAAAGTGCAATTTTAATATTTCTTTTTTAAACAGGAAATAAAATAATTAAAGATTACAAAAATCCGTAATATACAAATTTTAAAGTGTATTTTGAGCTCCACACCCAAATGTCATTGATTGTAAGTGCATTGATTGGGAGAAAACCCTTTTTAAGTCTGCTTTGTTTTTATGAGATCTGAAAAAAATTCACTGCAAAATTAGAATAGAATTGTATATAACATAAAAAGTTTTTTTTTGTTTAATGTTTTTTCAGATTTAATGATCTAATGTGCGTAATAAGACCCACACTTGGATAAGGTCACTAAACAAACTTTTAACTACAATAAAAAAGTTTTAGGGGGGCAATTTTTGTTATGTCCACCCTTTCGACACATACAATGGGGCAACTGTCCAGCATTGCAAAAAAGGGGACAAATGTCCAGGGGGCAAATGTTCTTGAATTACTTGTCACACTGAAGTGAGATATATATCATATTAACTCAAAGCAAAGAAAGTCTGTTACTTATCATTGCCAGAGAAACAAGTAAATCAGGTGTTTGTTTAAGTTTTTCCATGATAAGGTCATAAGGACTGACTTATATCATGGAAAAGCGGAAAACAAACTATACACAGAAGAAAATGGTAGTGATCTAACTATAGTGACACCATAAAATGTTGTCTGGGAATATAATGATATTGATTTCTGATATTAAATAGGTCTAAGCTTAGAGAATCAAGTTGAAATCATGTTATAGTTGTTGTTGTTATTATACCATCAATTATCATTGTTCATATTGTTTTTCTTGAGATTTCTAAATTTTGTTTTTGAAGAAAATTTGATATATTAAAGATTGTTGAGAAAAAGCTTACAAATGTTGTGTCTTAGATAAAAAATGAATTTGCTCAGCTTTGAATAAAGAATGTTCCATTTGAAGCTAAGCTAACAGATTTCAATATCAGAATATATGTTATTTAAGTTATCAACATACAGTACAGTAAGCCTAATCAGACTAAAGGGAAGTGCTTGTGGCAAAAGCTTGAATCACAATCTGTTCAAGGAATTTAAAATCATAACAATAATTATGCAAGATAAGTGTATGTGTACATGAGTTTATTATAAAGAAAAATTTTCTGACACCTGACACTGTACGGTATGACCATGTCAACATGACAGTCTGTATCATTTTTTTAAAAGTATTCTTTACCAGTTCATTTTCACTTTCTATGATGTCTTTACACCTTGAAAAGCCAACTGCTTTATATTGGCCATATATTTTTGGCATTTCCTGTTTTTGTTAATCAAGCCTAATGCTAATAATTATGCTTGTTGAAATGTAACACGGTTAAATTTTCAGATTGTTTCCACTCTTCAGATTTGTTCAGAATCTTCTCTTAACTGCCTTCGTGGTCGAGGACTTCTAATCCAGTTACCTCTCTGGCGTGGGTTCGATCCCCGGGAGATGCTTTGGTAGTTTAGCGTGGAGAAAGGTAGTCTAGTACTGGTGTAACTCTCCAGGAACGATGGTTAGGAAACTACCCGCCTATACAACTGAAATACTGTTGGGAAAAGGCGTAAAATGAACAAACAAACAAAACAAATTCTCTCAGAAAATGTTGCATGCAATAAATTTAAATATGTAATGAGTCATAGTCTCAATAAAGGTGTTTGCTTTAATGTTGTGCAATAAATAAATGACTTTGTTTTCTAATTATTACAAAAGAATCGCAACTTTTCATGCTCTGGTAAACATAAAATATGCATTGTGACAAGTACGCAAGCAATCTCTTGATTCTGATATATAACAAAATGTATTCTATATGATCAACAAATAATTCTGCCTACATTAATAAAAAGGACAAAAAAGGACCAAAGTTTTACAAACTTATGAGACACCTTTCTTACAATGTCTGACTAAAAGGTAATCAGATGCTTTGCTTTGGGGCGGGGGGGGGGGGGTGGGTGGGGTGTGGTGTAAATGGCCGAGTGGTTAAGGTTGTTGAATTCAAACTACTTGCCTCTTACC